TATAGTAATGACATGTCTGTTATCCCACTTCACCTTTGTAGAAACTTCCTTTTCATGCACGTTGGAGTTTTGGCTGATAAAAAATGTGATTTATGTCTCCAGATAAAACCCTGCACCACCCATTGGTCCCACACCGATCAGAAATTTTTCAGGGTCTATTTAAATGATTATAGAGTAAATTTATGCAAAGACCAAAATGAATGACAACCATTGTTCCTTCCCATAAATTTGATGAATGGGATGTTGTATATCACAGCATGTAGATATGTGAATATAGTCGGCTCCACAACTGAATGATAGTGTGTTCATTCTGCATTTATAGCTTTAAAGTTTATTGTTCTCTTTTCTTCTCTCTATACCACCCCCTCTCATTTTAATTCACCTATTCATTAATTTATTAAAATCATTATCAAAATGACACAAGCCAACTGATTTGTATTAGCAAGAAGTCCTCTCTCTGCCTGCCCTGTTTAGAACCCCCTGTTCACATTAAATAAACACATAAAAATTTAGTATTGCACTAAAACCCCATGGGCGATTAATTTTACTGCAGGCCCTTAAACAGGAACATGAGGTGATGGGAGAGCAAAGCAAGGCGATGGAAGACAAGGTGGCCCAACTGATGGAGAGCTATGCTGCTTCCAAGACCAGCTGGGACAAAGAGGTAGAAGAAAAACTGTGCTGTGGGAGAAGGCAGTGTGATGATAGTAGCACATATTTACAGTGTCCGGCTGGACATACAGAAGAGTCCGGCTGGACTCTTCTGTAGCAGACTTAATGTGTATATGGGAAAATGCCAGAAAATCATACAAGCTCATTTAAAATCACATCTTTCATTTGTCTGGTTAAACAGAAGACAAAGTTTCTGGATCGCCTCAAGACACAGCAAGAAGACCTTCAAGCACTGAAAGAGGCTTATGATGATCTTCATCAGAAACACGCTGAGCTGTCCTTACAGGCCAAATCACATGAACAGCAAATATATGAAATGGAGGTATGTATCCAAAAACACATGTAGGGGATTACACGTGTCATGTGAGGCAGGAGTGACAGATGGGTACAAATGACAAATAATGCCACTGTGATTTGTAGCGGGAGTAGTGAACAGGTGAAGGAGAGCCTGGAGAGGTGGAGGTATGCTCTGGCGAGAAGAGAAATAAAAGTTCGTAAAAACAAGCAGATGTAACAGGGATGATCCAAGGAGAAGAAGCAGTGATGGTGGATGAATTTAAATACCTGGGGTTAACCATTCAAAGCAATGGGCAGTGCACAAGTAAGGTGAAGAAGAGAGTGTAGGCAGGGTACAGTTGTTGGAGTGTCTTGGGTGATTTGTGAAAGCAAGAGTGAAACGGAAGGTTTGCAAGATGGCGGTGAGAGCTGCTGCTATAGAGACAGCGGTGCTGAAAAAAGGACAAGAGGCCGAGCTCCAGATTAAAGCACAAAGGGGATCAGGTCTGTGGAGAAAATTGTCCCTAACATCAGGACATCTCCAGTATTAGATGCTTTCAAA